CAATAGAAATTAAAAGGTCATTGCCCTGATTTGGAGCTTTGCTGGCATCTTCGGTAATTGTAATGGAGCTGACATCTATAGACAAAATAAATCCCATTGAAAATAATAAAGAAGTTTGTATGAATGGGAGAGTTCTCATCTCAAACCCTAAATTTAAGTTCCTCTGTGTGCATGCGTGTGCCATCAAGTCTTCCTCCTCTGTAATATTTTGATTGAGTCTAATAAAATCATTGCTCAACTGTGGGTTACAAAAATGGGATCTATGGGATTCAAACAGCCCATACTACTGGTATTTTTTTCCAAAATTCTTCCCAAATCTCTTGGGAAGACGGGCGGACAAATGTCAGTGTGCCGGAAGAAGCAAAGACCTCCAGCATTGAAGCGATGCGCCTACGCCATCAAATCCGCTGGACAGAATGCCATGTTGTCCCAATACCTGATCTCTGCAATGGGAAGCAACATAAACCTTGTGCAGTAGAGAATCTAGCCTATGGACAGAATCTAGCCTGACCCTTAATGGACAGATATGAACCCTTTTTAATAGGACCATTCACAATATACTTCCCCTTTGCACTCTAAAACTATGCATCTTTTCCACTACACTAGTGGTTRTCAACCTTCCTAATGCTGCGGCTGCGGTCCCWCAATACAGTTCCTCATGTTGTGGTGACCCCCAACATTATTTTCGTTGCTACTTCATAACTGTAATTTTGCTACTGTTATGAATCGTAATGTAAATATTTGATATGCAGGATGTATTTTCATTCACTGGACCAAATTTGGCACAAAACCCGATGTGCCCAAATTTGAATACTGGAGTAGTTTGGAGGTGGGGTGGGGGTGGGGGTCGATTTTGTCATTTGGGAGTTGTAGTTGCTGGGATTTATAGTTCACCTAAAATCAAAGAGCATTCTGAACTCCACCAACAATGGAATTGAATCAAACTTGCCACACAAAACTCCCATAACCAACAGAAAATACTGGAAGGGTKTGGAGGGCATTGACCTTGAGTTTTGGAGTTGTAGTTCACTAACATGCAGAGAGCACTGTGGATTCAAACAATGATGGATCTGGACTAAACTTGGTATGAACACTCAATATGCCTAAATGTGAACACTGGTGGAGCTTCGGGAAAATAGATCTTGACATTTGGGAGTTGTAGTTGATGGGATTTATAGTTCACCTACAATCAAAGAGCATTCTGAACCACACCGATAGAAATGGGCCAAACTTCCCACACAGAATCCCTCATGACCAACAGAAAATACTGTTTTCTGATAGTCTTTGGCGACCCCTCATATACCTCCTCACAATCCCCCTGGGGTCCTGACCCCCAGGTTGAGAAACTCTGCACTACACTATATTCCTATATCATTCCCACACTCAAATGAACATTGTTTGCCTATCATGGATTGCTGTGCAAACATGGATGAACTAACCTGTAGTAGGCACAGATGTGTTATTTCCCCCCTGCATTTTAAGATTGTGTAAATTTCTGTTAAGGCAGCCGGCAGCTAGATTACTTATCAGTTACAGGGCTGAGTTATTTGACATTGTGATGGTACTGCATTAGATTGCTAAAGTGCAACCTTTACAATCTGTCACTTTTCCAGATCTTTTAAGTGCCATTGATATCATCCTGGAATTTTCAATCACTAGAAAGGGCCTGGCTTTGGAAATTATTGATGTCCCTAATATGGCAATATGTCACAGCAACAATGACATTTTTGTATAGATCTCCGCTTGTGCGAGTATTAAAGGAAATGAAATGGGAGATAAAGCAGTCAAGAAGGCTTCCCAAAATAATTCAAAAGGTCTAAATACTTCAAAGATTAGAACACACACACACAACTCAGTCAAGAAACAACACACAAAGCTCCCGAGGGAAGTAAAATATGTGAAGGTTATAAAGGTTAAAGAGATTTACATTATAATTTGATATGACTTTATTTACAGTTCAGGTTTCCTGGATGTCCTTCTACTCAGGAGTAAACCTCATGGAGGTCAATGGGATTTACTCCTAGGAAAAGGTGGACCTGACTTCTTTGTTGTTCTCAATTTCACTTGATTGATTAATGGGAAAGGAATATGCCTGATTATAGCCTGAAAGGTTAATTAATTACTTCGCCAACGCTAATGAAATCTAAATGTTCTATAATCTGCCAGTAGACAGATACGGACATTTTTGAAGTTTGGTAACAAGGTATGCAATACGTTTTCCTGCTTTCAAGAGCAAAGTTGCTATTTATTTACATTTCTTCCACATGAACAGATTATGTATCAAAATGCTTCAGTTGTATAATTTTATATTCAGTGCCACTGGAACTAGACCCCCCTCCCCACCTCCAACTGTGAGTTTTAAGGTCCTTAAGGATATGTGTCACTGATTCTAGTAGAAATATCCAATCGTAGTATATACTATTTAATCTGTCTTCTTATGATTACCTTTACACTGGTGTTTGGTTGGATATTTACATAGTCACAGTGAATCAGAAGGTCCCACAAAAACAAATCAGCATAGGGTTGTAGGTATAGATACAGTACATGTCAGATCAGTTTATGTAAAATGTTTTGAGGTTAAGGTGTCTCAAAAAATTAATGTGCAGATTTTATATGATGTGTGGGAATGAATGGAAGGATGTATGGAGCTAATAATTTTGGAAACACCAGTAAAAGACCCAGGCCTGCAATGACTAACTTACCTGCTTGCTGGACTATAATTAAAAGTTGCTAATGAGCAATGAAAAGTAAACTCTGATAAGAACTGGGACAGTGATAACAGAAATGTTTGCAACATTCTTTATGTTAAGAAGCAAGTCAACACAAGCCTTGTGTTCGTCAACACCAATCAAGAAGAATCATCTGGCCGGAAAACTGAGATGGAGCCAGGATGGAAAACGTCTATCATTAATTTACAACTTTGGGACTACATCAGCAGAATATTCCTATAAAAGACTCAGTCTAATAATGCTCAAATTGTGGGAGACCCGAGGAGTCTGTTCCACCTGCTATGCTCTGCTCCATGGGAAGGAGAAAGATAGGGTACGTATGGAGAGTGGCAGATTTGCACGGAAGCAGTCTGGTCACTTTGGGGCTTTTTTCTCAAGGGAAGAGGAAGAAGTGCACTTTTGGAGTCTTAGATTTTGTGCAGGGAATCAGGTTCTGTTGTATGGAAAAGAGAGATCTGGTCCTTGGCATTGTTCTTAGGGAAGAAGTTTTGGCATTTTGAAGTTAAGGTGTTATGGAAGTTATGGAACTATGCATTGTACACAAGAAGGAAGGTAAATAGCAATTTATAACAATGAAATACAATGTGAGAAAGAAGTAAAAAACCATCCCTTGGATGTGATTTGGAAGCAGCTTTCAACTGCATCTCTAGGGCCTCTTCTACACTGCCCTATATCCCAGGATCTTATCCTAGATAATCTGATTTAAACTGGATTATATGAGTCTCCACTGCCAGATAATCTGGGATTTGATCCTGGAAGGGCCTAGATAGTGCAATGCATTTTGGTTTCTTTAGGCCAATGTATTTGACTTGTTTCATTGAATGTTTTTTTTTAAGTTTCAATCTGTGTTGTTTTTAAATATGTGGCTAGCCATCTTGAGTCCCATTATTAGATCTTAAATGAATTAAATAAATGGGACGAGCCAAGGCCATCTTGTTTTTGCTTGTTTGGATCACAGCTGTGCTACAGAAACCAAGATCTTGTGATAAGTAGCGCCAATAATCTTTACTATGCTAGTATTTGTATAGATGCCTTGGCCTTAACCTTTGTGCTAATGGGTCTGTATCACAGTCACAACTGTATTCAAGAGGTCCTGTGGCCAGTGCATAGGTCTGAAACATCAGAAACTCCAAAAACACATTTCAAGTCAAATAAAGTATCACTTACTAGGAGGAGATGGTGTGTGTATGCCTTCATCCATTTCCAGGACAAATGATAACTTGACCTTTGACATTTTTGGTAATAAGAGACCAGATACTAAAGCAATAAGTAGACTATTCATCCCCAGTGCTGAGATTTGTGCTCCACTCTGTATGAGTTTAAATCAAACGCCTGTCACAACACCTAATCACTGTCGCAACAACCAGACACTCCCTTTCTCATTCTGGAGTTGCAGTAGGCCAAAGATCAAAGTCACACTAGCAATGACAAAGGTGACTTCCCCCTCCCATTTCTGTTTCATGAAACACCTGATATGTGCCATGGGGCACCTGGACATAAGAAAATTAGGATCTAAATTTAAAAGACACAATGGACCAAGGAACTCATACATGACTTAAGAAAGATAGATAAATATTTTTAAAAGTAATCATCCATTTGTTCATGTCTGAATCAGTCCCATATGTTCTGAACAACAACAACAACATTTTATGATGGTTCCGAAGAGTCTTATTTCACCGTAGGTGTACAAGGTATGCAGGTAATGGGATTAAGATGGTCTCAATAAGATAAAAACTTTAATTTGCTGAATGTACCTTATGACCAGTCCTGATCAAAACACGCAGCTCAGTAATACAGAATCACTCTTCACAATATTGGACCAGCAACATCAGAGGTACTTTCTGATTTACAACCAGCTAATAAACTTCTAATCCCAGCTCACTCTTACAGCAGTAATTAGTTCCTATAATGTTGGGTATCTTCAGTTCATTTCTGACTCATAGTAACTCTTGGGGAAACCCATTATGAGATTTTCTTTCCAAAAGTTGTTCAGAGGGGGTTCAGTCTGAGAGGATGTGAACTGCTGAAGTCACTCATTGAGTTTCCATGGCCGAGCCTGGGCATGAACCCTGGTTTCAGAACCTCAATCCAGCACTCAGAATACTACTACACCATGCTTGCTCTGTGATAAAATACTTTAGTGGAATTAATGTGCAGCCAAACAAATGCTATGTATTGCAGATCAGCCCAAAACTCAATTCCAGCAAAAGTAAATCCATTACTACCCACCCCCAAATACAATGTAAGGAAGGACACTTTGCAGCCATGAAATCTTTGATAGCATCTTTACATTTCATTGTTAACAATACAAGGCATGAATATTTGAAAACAAAATTTGTTTACAGGGTCTTTCCAGTAAATTTGGACACAACAATTTTACATTCAATGCTTTTGAAAAAATGTAAAGGCTAAGAAGTGCATTCTTTTTTTTTAAAAAAAAAACAAACAACATAAAACTTAGCAAATCCAGGCACTGCATTTCAACAACAATATCCAGAACCAGGTCACTTTCTAGATGGACAGAACACCCAATGGGGACCAGGCGCACAAGCTGAACTGGAGCCATCTACTCTTTGGCATCCTTTCACTTTGTCAGGTATTCTTTTGCCAAGACAAGACAAGCTCCAGACAGTTTGAAACAAGAGTTTTCAAAATCGATTCTTCTTGTTTTTCAGAATATCTCAAGTATCTCAAGAACTTATGCAAAAAATATATATCTTTGCATAAGTTCTGGGTGCAGATACTCAATCGCCACCTTGAAAAGGAACTTTAATTCATTATGTCTCACACTATGTTGTAAATATAAAATACATACTTGACACTAAATGATGGGGAGTTAGCCAGAAGCAGGTGGGAGATAACACCGTACAGAGGTTTAAACAAAAAGCCAACTGTAAGGATAGCATGGAAAGCTATGGAAATACGAACTTCTGCTGATCTCCTCCAAACAGGCACCACAGAGACCAATTTGACACTCAAAAACAGAACAAAAATTAGAAAACACACACACAATGTACTAAATATTTCAGTACAGGCTGGTCTTCTTCATGATTCGTAAGAACTCCTGCTCATTAACTTCCCCATCCCCATCCCGATCAGCTTCGTCAATCATTTCCTGCATGGGAAAAAAAAGGAATCAAAAGCAAAGCTCTGTGAGCTAGAAGAAAAACCTATCCCTTTTTCTGCCTTGTTCACAAGCTCCACATTTATAACAATGACTTCTGTGTTTAATGTAATTTCCATGGCTTCTATTTTTTAAAACAAAATTAAGAATATATGAAAATCAGAGAGGTGGTTCCCCTGCTTTCATACCAGATACTTCTGGAATAAGAGGAAAAATAGTTTTGCCAGCTAGCAAGTATTACCTTATTGTTTATTCCATCTATTCTAGTATGGGACCCTAATTTAAATAAGATTGATATATTTATCTTAAAGCCTTCCTTCAGAATGGATAGGGGGGCATACATGAGTACCACACCAATCATCTGACATAAATTAGACTGAGAGACATTAACTGTTTCAAAATGCACAGGTAGGGATTTGAAGCTGTGTCTCTCCAGTCATATCATTACTTCACATTGAATATTCAAAAATACTTTTGACTCAGGGCCCTTCCACACAGCCACATAACCCAAAATATCAAGGCAGAAAATCCCACAATAACTGCTTTGAACTGTGTTACCTGAGTCCACACTACCATATATTTCAGTTTAAAGCAGATAATGTGGGATTTTATTCAGCTGTGTGTGTGTGTGGGAGGGGGGCTTACACTATGTTTCTCTGAGTGGAAAAAACAGGCTTATTATTCATTAAGAGAGGAAGAAAAATCCTCAAAGGGATTGCCAAAGGGAATGTTAACTGGACAGATAGAGAAATGACTTCAGAACAGCCCCCAAACATTAAAAGAGCTAACAATAACAACAGACCATCATTTTCAAATATCAGCAATATAAAAGTAGCCATGTTATATCAAGTAAGCCAGTATCCTTTCCCCAATGGCCATCCAGATACTCCTGGGAAACAGAAAAGCGTGAAGAGAAAGACTACTATTTTTGCTAGCAACAGCTATTTATTGTTACTGCCAACAAATCAGTTTCTATTTATGGCGATCCTATGCGGCTTCCTTGGTTGAATCTATCCAGCTGTGACATGGTTTTGTTTTCTTTCTAGCTCAGTGGGACAAAACCCATGAGCTGGAAGGCCTAGCATAATGATAGAGCTTTAGATTCTGCATGACTGGAGGGGCTACAGAACCCGATAACAGAATTTCAACCACAATAAGCTTGTGAAATCCTTAAAGGTATAGTTTAATTGCTATCTCACACCCACTATGTGAACAGGCACACCCAAACCTGCAACTCCTCGTCTGTAAGCGTCTCTCCCAGTTCTTTGGCCACACGCTTGAGGTTTTTGAAAGAGATTTTGCCAGTCTCGTCATCGTCAAACAGTTTGAAGGCTTTAAGAATCTCCTCTTTTGAATCTTTTTCAGCCTTACCAAGAAAGAAAGAAAGAAAGAAAGAAAGAAAGAAAGAAAGAAAGAAAGAGAATAAAAATGTCAGATAATCTGTAATTAGGCATTGCCAGTAGCTGAAATGAGAAAACCTTGTTTGTTTTTAATCCATGTAAGATACAGAAATGTAATTTTTATCACAGGATGTGGCAATTTGCAGTTTCATAAACAAAAAAAAGAGATATAATCTTTTATGCCAAGTTCTTCCTGATTGAATAAAAAGATGCCAATAAAAGAGTGTCTACAGCCAATATGTAGATGCCACATAAGTAACAGCAAAAAAGTGCCCCTAATCCACATAGCGATGTAGAAGATAGGCATCCAGATTTACAACACAACACAGCCCTCTTTGAACAAATGTCTTCTGCACTGTCAAATGAAAATCACAATGAGGAAATCTAGGACTTTCAAAACTTTCCTGAAGACATTAGCAAAAGGTCAAAACTTTGTGGCAGATGTATCAGACTGACTTACCATTTTTTGGGTCATCACACCCAAGAAGTCCTGGTAGGTGATCTTTCCAGTTCCTTCTTTATCGATGTCTAAGATCATTTTCTTTATCTCATCTTTTTTGGGTTCAAACCCAAGTGCTCTCATGGCAACCTGCACACAACAAAAAAAGATTGACATCTCAGCAGAAAAGCAAATCGCAAACATTGGCAGACAGCAACGAAAGCAAAATGAAAGCACTTGAGAGAAGAGGCCAGTTAGCAAATTCTGATGGTGTGATGGTTAAGACAATAGGAGGAGAGGAAAGTACAAAATGTTATTGGTTTACTGTCGCTCTGGGCCAGAGTGAAGAGAGGGGAGGCCAGGGGACAGTTCCACCTAGTCTCCTGTGCTATTCTAATAATATAATATAATATTAATGTATATACATATAATAATTATAATATTATAATGTAATGCAATATAATAATAATAATAGAATTATATATTTATATTTTATGTAATATTACTAATAATATTACGATATAGTGGTATGGTGCAATATAGCAATGTTTAATGCTGATATTGTACTATGCTAATAATATAATATATTGTATGTAATATATACCTTGTATGCTGTTCTGAGTCCCCTTCAGGGTGAGAAGGGCGGCATATAAATGTCATAAATAAATAAATAATAGTTTGAATAAGCTTTTTAAAACCTCAGCAAGCTCCATGTGTAACATGGACAATAGCCAAGAAGTTTAAAAGAAGTACACAAATGTCTAACTCTTCTGATCCTAGGCTGATAATGAAAAAATACTTTTCCATGAGACTGGAGACAATAACAAATTCACAATTTTCCCAAACTTTGCTCTAGACTATTGCCCCCCTCCCCCACATGCTTCAAAAGTTAGTCCATTTGACTACAGCTCCTAGAATCCCCCAATTAGCCAATAGGTATGATAACTGGAGGATTCTGTGAGATTTACTCATTAAGAAATTTTCTCAAGAATTGTCTGGAGCTATCACTTTAGTTTTCATCGCACCAGAGTGTTCAGGAACTTTCAATGCAATTTAGACATCTCTGTTCAAAAGTAAATCCCACTGACTTCCATGGGACTTACTCCCAAGTAAGGATATAAGTCCTGCAGCTTGCCTTCAGCTCTTTCACGTCGATGTTCCCTGTCCCATCAGTATCAAACAGATCAAAGGCCTCTCGGATCTCCTGTTTCTGCTCTTCAGTGAGTTCAGTTTTGGGGAGTGCTTTCTTCCTCTGAACTGGAGCCCCCAGTGCTGGCTTCTTGTAGCTGGTGGCCTTAAAATATCAAAGATAGGGGAAAAAAATATTAAAAACAGTCTTTCATTCCTGATTACACAAAGGTGTTGACCATACTTTCAATTTCCTTGCCTCACTTATACCTTGGGGAAAATGTGAGGAAAGCAACTGTCTGAGAATTGAATGTTGTTCCAGAGGGCTAGTTCACAGTCCCTCACAATTTGGGAGGTCAGACTATAGTTTGATGTTCTTGTTGTGTGGCTTCAATGCATTTCAGGTTGTTAGGAATTGTAAGAGCTGAAGTCTAAAACATCTGGAGGGCCAAAGTTGGCCCATGCCTGGTGTAGCCACATGCCATGGCTGAAATAATTACATCAAGAGGGAGCAGCCAGGAAGACACAGCTCCATCGTGTCTCCTGCAGCATTACTTGAGAACCCCTCAATATATATAATAATATATAGAAATAATAATACTGTAATAATACTAATATATTATATATATTAATAATGTTGTAATATATTATATATACTACAACTTTTTATATAGTACAATATATTATATAATACTAATAGTATAATATACTGTAGTGTATTAAATATATTGTGGTATACTAATATAGTACAACGGTGGCCCCCCGCCTCTGGAACGGCCTTCCAAGAGAAATAAGACAGGCCCCATCCCTCCCCTCCTTTCGTAAGAGCCTGAAGACCTGGTGGTTTAAACAAGCCTTTGAGAATGACTAGTTCTAGCTCAGCCCGATACTGTTGTATATGGCCATATCTTTTTCTACCAATTACTCAGGTTACTTCCTCCTATTAGGTCCCGGAGATGAACAGCCATAGACGCTACCTAATTTCCCAGGCCCTCTACAAATTGCGCTAGCCTCGGCTCGGCCTTTTAAATTGCCTTGAACAGGCAGGATTATTTTAAATATATATGTGCTATTGTGATTTTTATGCTTATATTGTCTTGTTAATTTTATGTTTATGTTGTTTACTTTGTATGCATTGATATTACTTGGAAATCGCTCTGAGTCCCCTCAGGGAGATAGAGCGGTATATAAATAAAGTTTTGTTGTTGTTGTACAATAATATATAATAATATAATAATGTTTTATTTATTACATGCAATATTATTAATCATATTGCAGTATAGTGGTACAGTACAACATAGTAATATATAATACTAATATTGTGCTATGCCAGTGATATAACATTGTTATACAACAAGAGCTGTATTAAGGGGTTATGGCATTAGGAAGGTTGGGAATTACTAGCACACCATTTCAAAATGTTGTATATAACATTATAATATTATATAACATATATTGCAATATTATTATTAGATTGCATTATAATATATAAAATTATATATTGTAATGCAATATAATACTAATAATATTGTAATATAGTAATACTAATATCTATATAAATAAAAATGTAAGAATCAGAATCCAGAGAGAAGACTGAGGAAGTCAGTAACCCCCTTCATACCCTGCATATCTCACCCCCCGCCCGATTCCTCTTTTTTCTTTCCCATGACCCAACCACCCCTGTCCACATCCAACACGATTCCTCTGACCCCTTCCATCCTTTTTCCCTACTTACCTTTACCTTATTCTATCCTACCGTCAACCCTGCAACCCCATTTCCCTTTTACTTTTATCATACAATTGTAACGAAATTCTTTAATAAAAACTTATTAAAAATAAATAAAAACGTAATGTTCGTTTGTGGGATTAACATAACTCAAAAACCACTGGACGAATTGATATCAAATTTGGACACAATATACCTATCAGGCTAACAATCAAGTTGTGGAACTGATTATAGGATGTTGGGATAAAGAGAGAAAGAAGTTGGAGCACACATTTCACTTGTAAACAAGATACTTTTGTGGCATATTTGATGGATATATTAGTGAACGTAACTATTTAACAACCATTGCAAAAAACTTCATGTTGTATGTACTGATTTTTTTTTTGTAGAGACCCTCCCCAAAGACCTTAGACAGGCCCCTACATTGGCTGTCTTCAGAAAGAACTTGAAGACCTGGCTTTTCCGATGCGCCTTCCCAGATTAGGAAATCTCCACTACCAAGTCCCATAAGCACTTTATCAGAACCAATGATTGCTGCACGTCGCACATCGCACTTGTCCTGGAAGCCCTATATACACCTCCTGTCACATCAGCACTTTTAATCTTGTACCCATTACTCTGGCCCGGCCCAGTTTTATTGTGTTTAGTGTATTGTACCTGTTGTTTATTTTGCTTTTTCTGTTTTTAATTGTTTGATTTGCTTAGATTGTATTGTTGTGTTGTGTTTTGAGGCCTCGGCCTGTGTAAGCCGCATCGAATCCTTCGGGAGATGCTAGCGGGGTACAAATAAAGTTTAATAATAATAATAATAATAATAATAGTAAAATGTCCCATCACTCATAAAAACACTGAAATACTCAGCAGAAGAGACTTAAAAAGCCAAAAAACAAAAATTACATTACACCGCAAGCACAAAACCACACATATATATGCAAAAACACATATACACAAATATGTACACACAAACATATACACAGACTGGGCCACAGCAACGCGTGGCAGGGGGTGGCTAGTATTATATATTATAATGTAATATAATACTTATAATATTGTAATAGAGTAATATTAATATATTAAATATAATTACTACTGATAATATATAATATATTGTCAGTAGCAATTATATTTAATACATTTATTAATTTATTATTGTATATTTTTAATTGTATTGTTTTTGACTGTGAGCTGCTTTGAATCTCCCTTTGGAGAGATAAAACGGGATATAAGTCAATCAAATCAATCAATCAAATCAATCAATCCCACTGGTCCTCTGCTCTTCTGCATGGAGGTATGCAAATAAAGGTGACGTCAAAGCCCGCTCGCTACACGCGCAGGGATTGAGAGAGCCAATCACAGCACTCGAACTGCAATATGCAAATGAGGCCTGGTCCCGCATGCGCAGTAGAGGCAAAAGCAAGGCCTCATTCCCTCCCAGCCAGCCACGCCGAGTCTCCACAAGGCGGGCTGCTCGTTTACGCAAACAATCCCCCAGCCACGGAACGAGCCCCATCCCGGCGCCGCACTAACCATCCCAAAGGGAGTTAATCCGGTCCTGAGGCGAAAAGAAGCCCCAAGCGCGGACACCAAACCCAACCGTCACCACAGCAGCAAGCGGCGCCTTCCCATTGGCTGCCGCCCTCGCTGACGCTAATTGGCCCACACAGCCAGGCGCGCGAGAGCCGCACTCGAAGCTGATTGGGTGGAAATTCAAAGCGGGCGGAGTCTACTCCTGTAATCGGATTGGATGGGGCGGTGAAGGCGGACGAGCCAATGAGGGAGCGTTCCGATACTCGAACGATAGTCAGCACAGGGGCCAATTCCCAGGAGGAGGCGTGGCCTCATCTCATAGCAGCCAATGATTGGACAGCTGGGGAGAAAGTGGCCCAATGAGAGGAGGGGGCGGGGCAGCATCTCTAAGAGTGAACCCAGGAGGGAGGCTTCTAGGGGAGGCAGCAAAAGAAACTTCAGAAGAAGGAAGGTAGGGAAAAACACCGGTGGAATAACTGAGGTAGGTGATGAATAAAGTTGTTGTTATTATTGTTGTTATTATCAGCTGGGGTGAAAATTGCTGGAAGAAACATTGACAACCTCAGATATGCAGATGACACCACTCTGATGGCCGAAAGCGAGGAGGAGCTGAGGAGTCTTCTAATCAAGGTGAAAGAAGAAAGCGTAAAAGCCGGGTTGCAGCTAAACATCAAAAAAACCAAGATTATGGCAACAAGAATGATTGACAACTGAGAAATAGAGGGAGAAAACGTGGAGGCCGTGACAGACTTTGTATTTCTAGGTGCAAAGACTACTGCAGATGCAGACTGCAGCCAGGAAATCAGGAGACACTTACTTCTTGGGAGGAGAGAAATGTCCAGTCTCGACAGCATAGTAAAGAATAGAGACATCACTGGCAACAAAGATCCGCCTAGTCAAAGCCATGGTATTCCCTGTAGTCACCTACGGATGTGAGAGCTGGCCCTTAGGGAAGGCTGAGCGAAGGAAGATAGATGCTTTTGAGCTGTGGTGTTGGAGGAAAGTTCTGAGAGTGCCTTGGACTGCGAGAAGATCCAACCAGTCCATCCTCCAGGAAATAAAGCCCGACTGCTCATTGGAGGGAAGGATACTAGAGACAAAGTTGAAGTACTTTGGCCACATCATGAGAAGACAGCAAAGCCTAGAGAAGACAATTATGCTGGGGAAAGTGGAAGGAAAAAGGAAGAGGGGCCGACCAAGGGCAAGATGGATGGATGGCATCCTTGAAGTGACTGGAATGACCTTGAAGGAGCTGGGGGTGGTGATGGCCGACAGGGAGCTCTGGCGTGGGACTGGTCCATGAGGTCACGAAGAGTCGGAGACGACTGAACGAATGAACAACAACAACAAATTATCAGTGGAATAAAAAGCACTAGTTTCCCTCTGAGGCTGAGAGAGTGTGACTTGTGACAATGCCAGCCAGTGAATTTCCATTGCAGTTTATTTATTTCCTATATTTATAGTTAAATATAGTCATTTCCTAATTGGTTCTATCATTAAAACATGGGGGAATTTTATTAAACTTCAAAATCTTGGATTTTGCGGGACATCCTGCAAATTTATTTATTTATTTATTTATTTATTTACTGCGCTTATATACCGCAATTCTCAGCCCAGGGGCGACTCATTGCGGTGTACAACATAGAAAAACAGGTGCAAAATACAAGACATAGTGTAAAAATAATCCACAATTCATCATTATCAAAAACATCCTAATCAAAAACATCAACATTACTACAAAAGCCATTCCGTGTCGTCTCATCGTCAAACCCACAATCCGATATCATTTCCGTTGTTCCATTCCTATGGTCAAGTTATCAATCATTGCACTTCTTGTTCAAATGCCTTCTTAAACAGCCAGGTCTTTAATTTCCTGCGGAATATCAACAGAATATCCATAGAATCTCACCTTATTTATTTATAGTTATCGTGTCATCTGCAACCAGAACATTGTATTACATTTCTAACAGAACAAAACAAACAAACAGATAAAAAAACACAAATATTTTGCAAACTTGGTAGTTGATTAAATGTCCTTTGACCAGTATCTGGCCACTTTGAGTGCCTCTGGTGTTGCCACAAGAAGATCCTCCATTGTGCATGTGGCAGGGCTCAGGTTGCATTGCAGCAGGTGGTCAGTGGTTTGCTCTTCTCCACACTCGCATGTCATGGATTCCACTTTGTAGCCTCATGTCTTAAGATTGGCTCTGCATCTCGTGGTGCCAGAGTCTGTTCAGCGCCTTCCAAGTCGCCCAGTCTTCTGTGTGCCCAGGGGGGAGTATCTCATTTGGTGTCAGCCATTGATTGAGGTTCTGGGTTTGAGCTTGCAACTTTTGGACTCTCGCTTGCTGAGGTGTTCCAGCGGGTGTCTCTGTAGATCTTAGAAAACTATTTCTTAGATTTAAGTCGTTGACGTGCTGGCTGATACCCAAACAGGGGATGAGCTGGAGATGTCTCTGCCTTGGTCCTTTCACTATTGGCTGCTACTTCCCGGTGGATGTCAGGTGATGCAATACCGGCTAAGCAGTGTAATTTCTCCAGTGGTGTAGGGCGCAGACACCCCGTGATAATGTGGCATGTCTCATTAAGAGCCACATCCACTGTTTTAGTGTGGTGAGATGTGTTCCACACTGGGCATGCGTACTCAGCAGCAGAGTAGCATAGCGCAAGGGCAGATGTCTTCACTGTGTCTGGTTGTGATCCCCAGGTTGTGCCAGTTAGGTGATGAATAAAGTGGTTATTATTGTTGTTATTATTATCAGTGGAATAAAAAGCAGTGGTTTCCCTCTGAGGCTGAGAGAGTGTGATTTGTGACAATGCAAGCCAGTGAATTTCCACTGCAGTATACATATTTCCTATATTTATATTTAAATGTCATTTTCTAATTGGTTCTATCATTAAGAGCATGGGGAAAGTTTATTAAACTTCAAAATCTTGGTTTTTGCGGGATATCCTGCAGCACATGATGCTATAGTTTTTCAATGAATATCCATAGAATCTCAACAATTCAGCATAGGTTGTCATGAGTTTTCCAGGCTGTGGAAATGTTCCAGAAGCATTCCCTTCTGTGCCCGTATCTTGGGAAGTCTGATCTGGCCATGGTGGTCCACGCTCTGGTTACATCCTGAATAGATTATTGCAACGCGCTCTACGTGGAGCTGCCTTTGAAGACGGTTTGGAAACTTCAGTTAGTTCAACAGGCGGCAGCCAGATTACTGACAGGGGTGGCATACAGGGAGCATACCATCCCCCTGTTATGCCAGCTCCACTGGCTGCCAGTCCATCTCCAAGCCCAATTCAGAGTGCTGGTTTTGGCCTATAAAGCTCTATACAGTTTTGGCCCAGCTTACTTGTCCAAACGCATCTGCCCCTACGTCCCACCTCGCAATTTAAGATAGTCCGGGGAGGCCCTGCTCGCGCTCCCGTCAAAAGCGCAAATGCAACTGGCGGGGATGAAGAGCAGGGCCTTCTCAGCTGTGGCCCCCCGCCTATGGAACACATTTCCAAAAGAGGTAAGATCTGCTCCCTCGCTCCTGACCTTTAGGAAAAAAATAAAATCATGGTTCTGGGACCAGGCCTTCGGACAATAGATGTATGCAGCTTTTAGTGGGACAAGGACTGGAACGGCAACTCGACTGATGAGATTGTTTTATGGTTTTAATAACTTGAAACATTCACATCTAGCTCCAGCAGAGAAGAGCTCTTTGCCCCACCCCAGCCATTCCACAGATATATAAACCCATTGTCCTAATTCCAACAGACCTCACTACCTCTGAGGATGCTTGCCATAGATGCAGGCGAAACGTCAGGAGAAATGCCTCTAGAACATGGCCATATAGCCTGAAAAAACCCACAAGAACTGAGTTTTAATAACTGTTTTGATATTTGGTGATATAGTGTTGTTAATATGATTTATGTTTAAAGTGTGGTTTTACTATTGTAGTTGTAAGGCATTGAATTTTTGCCATTATCTATGTGTAAACCGCTTTGAGTCCCCCGAAGGGTGAGAAAAGCGGTATATAAATCCTGTAGATAATAAATAAATAAATAAATAAATAAATAAGTTGGTAGAAGCTGGGCCTAACAGCGGGAGCTTATCGCTCGCTGGATTCGAACCCAGATTTTTCCCCACATTTTTATGGAAATTACATTTTATAACCCAGGAATAAAAATCATGCTACATAGTGTAAGCTTTCTGCAGTGTGCGTGAAGCAAGTGGGCTGCTAAAAGTGAATAGACTACACTACACTACCTAGTGGTATTATATTTCCTTCTTATATTTGTTTAAATCCAGATTAGAAAAAGTCTCAGATTAGCTGCATCTGGACCAGTGCGCCAGCCATGGCCACCCGACTGAGGCAGGTAAGTCACTTTGTGTATCTCAGAGTGCATCTACATTGGGCATGGGCAAACTCTGGCCCTCTGGGTGTTTTGGACTTCAACTCCCACAATTCCTAACAGCCAGTAGAATGAGAGACAGAATGAATTCTACATGCAGCAGAGATTAGCCACTAAGAAGAGTCTGCTATGTCTTATTATTATTATTATTATTATTATTATTATTATTATTATTATTATTTACAGGCCAATAAAAAATGCACTGTGATAGGTGGCTCAGGATTTCTGGGTCAGCACATGGTGGAGCGCCTTTTGGAGAAAGGTTATGCCGTCAACGTATTTGATATCCGCAAAGGCTTTGATCACGACAAGGTCCAGTTTTTCCTTGGTGATCTCTGTCGCAAAGAGGTATGGCTGAATCTAGAGTTCTACCATATTGCGGGGGTGCTCTGGTAGATCCTGCTCCTAATCTATGCATCCCTTCTTTGCCCATCTCAAGGATCTGCTTCCAGCTTTGCAAGGGGTGACGCTAGTCTTTCACTGCGCCTCTCCAGCGCCTTCCAGCAACAACCGAGAACTGTTCTACAGAGTCAATTACCTGGGGACCAAAGCAGTCATTGAAGCCTGTAAAGAAGCCGGTGTCCAGGTAAGGCCTGGACTACAAGACCTAAACCCAAGGCAAGAAAGTACAGATGGCTTTATGGAGGAAAGTTAATTCATTATCTATCATCCACTGGACATTCACATTAGATAAGGCAGATTCCTGGTCATGGGCAGCACCAAGACTCAGGAAACTGGATTTCCTAGGAACATATTTCTGGCCATTTTGGGATAAAAGATTCCAGGATCATGCTTTGGACCATTAGGCCTCTTACGCATTTGCAATTTATTTATTTATTGTATTTGTATACCGCCTTTCTCAGCCAATTGGCGACTCAAGGCGGTTTCCAACAAATCAGTACATATAAAAACATAATACAGATTAAAACATTAAACAATATAAAACACCACAAAAGCAATAAAAACAACATCATTAGTGTCTCATTATTATCAAGCATTGTCCAGTTCCATTGTCAAATCGTTCGATTTCCTATATTAGCTACTCTGCATTTGTAAACGCTTGCTCGAACAGCCATGTTTTAACTTGCCTCCGAAACGTTAAGAGGGAGGGAGCAAATCTAATCTCCCTAGGGAGTGCGCTCCATAGACAAGGGGCCATCACTGAGAAGGCCTTGTCTCTCGTCCCTGCCAAACATACTTGAGACGAAGGCGGGACCGAGAGCAGGGCCTCCCCAGACGATCTTAGAGTCCTCGATAGCTCGTAAGGGGAGACACATTTGGACAGGTAAGTTGGGCCCCCCGCCTATGGAACACACGTAACACTATTTTTGTTCTTGATTTTTAAATGTCATTTCCCAATTGGTTCTATCATTAAAAACATGAGAAAAGTTTATTAAACTTCAAAAGTTTGGTTTTTGCGGGACATCCTGCAGCACGTGTTGCTATAGGTTTTCAATAAATATCCATAGAATCTCACCTAATTCAACATAGGTTGCCATGAGTTTTCCAGGCTGTATGGCAATGTGCCAGAAGTATTCCCTCCTGATGTTTCACCCACATCTATTTATTTATTTCCTATATTTATACCTCGCCCTTCTCCCCTCGAAAGGGGAGGGGCAGCCTAACAAAAGCATCATACGATGCTAGCATAATAAAAACAACCCTAGTACAATCAAAATATTTAAAATTAAAACAACAATTAAAACAATTAATTAAGACATATCCATTAAAATCGAAATCCAAAAACCAGGATTTTGATTCGGGGGGGGGGGGCTGAGTTTCGGGAGGGGGGCTGAGTCTGAGTGAAAGAGGGTCTAGCCTAGCAAACCTTTTGTATCATTACCCCAATACCCCCATGCATATGGGATATATTGAGTATGGTGATCAGATCATGATATGAATAAACATAACAGTTTAAATAATGCACCAGTAATGCCTTTTTAGCGAACCACCATGAGAATTTTGGGAGGGGGGCCGAAGCCCCCCAAGCCTCCCCCCTTCCCCGGCTACACGCCTGGGTCAATTCATTGCCATAAGTTGTGTGATCTTCTTCCACTTGCTGCTCACTGATCATAACCAGGTCTTGATTTTCCTTCTAAAAGACAAGAGGGAGGTGGCCAATCTGATATCTCTAGGGAGGGCACTCCATAGGCGGGGGACCACTGCTGAGAAGGCTCTGTCTCTCGCCCCCATCTATGGCAGGCAATCTCAGAGATATAGGGGTTTGTTGGAAACTATGCAAATGAAGTTTATATATCTGTAGAATAATGTCCAGGTGGAAGAATAATGTCCAGGGCCTTCTCAGTGGTGGCCCCTCGGCTATGGAATGCCTTGCCGGCAGACATCAGACAGGCACCTTCGTTGCTGACGTTTCGGAGAATGGTTAAGACCTGGCTTTATGAACAAGCGTTCGGCTAAGCAATGCAACCAATCAAGGAAGACGGTAAATGGAACATAGGAACGGCACAAGGACTATGAGAACGGATCTGATTTCAACTGAGGCGTTATATATGTTGTTGTTGATTTGTCCTGTCTGATTGTTAACTGTTGTGGATCTATGTGTTGATCCTGTTGTTGTATTATGTTTTAATTGCACTGTAAACCGCATTGAGTCGCCTGTTAAGGGCTGAAAAATGCGGTATAAAAATGAAGCAAATAAAATAATAAATAAGAAAGAACACTTGTCTGCTTGAGGCAGGTGTGAATGTTGCAATTGCCCACCTTGATTAGCATTGAATGGCCTTGCAGCTTCAAAGACTGGCTGCTTTCTGTCTTGACATTCCACAGATATATAAACCTCACTTGCCTAGATTCCAACAGACCTCACAACCTCTGAGGATGCCTGCCGTAGATGTGGATGAAACGTCAGGAGATAATGCTTCTCGAACATGGCCAAACAGATTGGAAAACATGCAGCAACCCAGTGATTCCAACCATGAAAGCCTTTGACAACACAATTCAATGTAGCTTGTGGCAGCCACAAAAAATGAAGTTTCTGGAATATAACAATTACCGTATATTCTGGGGTACTAGACGACTTTTTAGGCGTGTAAAACCTTATATAATTTTGTCTAGTACGCCGGGTATAAAATTAAAATAATAATAAAATTGTATATTATGGCTGGCTTGGCCTCGGACTTCCCTCCTCCTCCACCTTGGTTCATGGCGACCTTCTGGGCAGGCTCCCTGTCCTTCCTCCCTTTCTGGCTGCTTTCCTTGCTCAGACACAGGCCTCTCCTTTGTTGGTGGCCGGGCCCCTGTGTGCTTCCTGTGCTGCTCAGGCCACTCTCCTTCCTGGCCAGGCCTCGCACGAAGCACCTCTTCTCCCGCGAGACAACATTGTCTCGCAGGAGAAGAGGCGCTTTGCACAAGTTCTGGCCAGGAAGAAGGAGAGTGGCCTGAGCAGCGCGGGAGGCCATTCTGGAGGCGACGCAGGAAGCAGCCCAGAGGCCCGAGGACAGAAACCAACCGGCTGGTTTGGGGAGTCGTCTTAAACGGTGAGTATATCCCCAACTCTCTATTTTGTATGTAAAAGTTGGGGGGTCATCTTATAGCCCCAGTCGTCTAGTACCCTGGAATATACGGCACTTTAAAAGAAAGTACTGCACAATTAAACAGGAAATAACACTTTCAAATCAGGAACAGAAAAAAATCAAATTTTATTACATAGTGTTATTTATGAATTATTTTATTGCCCTTCCACTCTTTTTACTCATGTCAAGGTAGTCTCCATCCTCCTTTATCCCCACAACAATCGAAGGAGGTAGATCAAGTTTTAGGAAAAACACAGCAACTGACCCAAAGTTGCTCAAGAAGTGTACCTGTTTTGGTTAAAACTACTGTTTCTCTGTCCTTTTTTAATCTTGTGGCAGAAACTCGTGTTGACCAGCAGTGCCAGTGTTGTCTTTGAAGGCACAGACATCAAGGATGGTACTGAAGACCTCCCCTATGCAAAAAAGCCCATTGACTACTATACCGAGACAAAGATTCTTCAAGAAAAGGTTTGATTTTCCTTTCTTGGCCATATATAGTAAAACAAGATTGGGAATTGCCAGCAAACTGTGGAGGGATCTAGAATTATGGTTCTTTCTGCCCAGGTTTTGTGTGTGTGTGTGTATGTGTGTGTGTGTGTCAGGATCAACTTGAGGAACGGCAAGTCGCTTCTGGTGTAAGAAAATTGGCCGTCTGCAAAGATATTGCCCAGGGAATGTTCAGATGTATGAAATTTTACCATCCTTGTGGGAGGCTTCTCTCATATCCCCGCATGGGAAGCTGGAGATGATAGAGGGAGCTCATCCACACTCTCCCCAGATTTGAACCTACGACCTGTCAGTCTTCAGTCCTGCCGGCACAAGGATTTAACCCATTGCGCCACCCGGGCTCCTCCTGCCCAGGATTCCCAGTCCTAGTTCAACTACTTGCTTTGCAAATCTGTATTACCATGACTCTAACAGTTATGCCTACGTCTGCCCCAGGTGTAACTGTTAGAGTCATGGTAATACAGATTTGCAAAGCAAGTAGTTGAACTACGAGGGTTGAATGAAAAGTAATGCCTCCACCTTTGTTACTTGGGTTTGGATGGGAATATTTTAATAAATCATACGCAGACATAATCCTTAGACTGTGCTCTTTAACTACCACTATTCACTTTTTCAAATAATCACCAGACAACTGGATACATTTCTGCCAACAATGAACAAGTTTTCTGAAGCCTCCACGGAAGAAGTCGACACTCTGTTTCCACCACCCATTGTGCACAGATCTTCCGATAGCCAAGCAAAGCAATAATGTGACCCACACGTTCTTGTGAAATGCTGATTATGCTTGAAATTTCTCTCCGAGTGATACGACTATCATCCTGAATCAATCTGTCAACCTTTTGCTTGTGAAACTTGGTGGTTGCTGTCACAGGACGTCCAACTCTTTGTTTATCATGCAAGCGAGATGTTCCCACCTCAACATCTTTAAACTTACTCACCCAACAACACACAGTACTCACATCAACACAATCACCACAAACAGCTTGCATTCTCTGATGAATCTCCTTTGGTGGTGACACCTTCTGCTGTCAAGAATTCAATGACTGCACATTGCTTAAGTCGCATTGACTGGCTGTCTGTGCAGGGTTCCATACTTTGCACTTTAACAACACAACCGTTCAATGCTAAGGCTTCCCTCCAAAATGGAACTGTAGAGGAGAGTCTACTGAACAAGCCAGTACCTGCCACATACCAGTACTGCCATCTGTTGAAGAGTTACGAAGGTGGAGGCATTACTTTTCATTCAACCCTCATAGGACTGGGAATCCTAGGTTCTAGTCTTTGCAAAGCAGTGAACCTTCCTGACTGAGTTTTGACCAATCCTACCATTCTGTCTCTCATCCTGATCTATGTCTTCAAACCTGGTTTTCCCCTTTGTGCCTCTTTCCCCAAGACCTTCCGCAGACTTTTCAATTTCTCTGTCTCTCTCAGGAAGTGCTGCAGGCCAATGATCCAGAGAGGAACTTCCTCACTGTCGCCATTCGTCCTCATGGCATATTTGGACCGCGTGACCCCCAGTTGGTGCCGATCCTTGTCCAGGCAGCCAAGAGTGGCAAGATGAAATTCATCATTGGGTATGAATGAATGGTTTATTGTACCAGCCATAGGCAATAACATTAAATAACATACATCCTTTAAAAGTACAATAAGCACTTTCCAATATAAAGAATCAAACTTATTCCATATACTGGCTCTTTAAAATTATAGTAGCAGTGACATGATAACTGCCGCCGGGTTGATTTGAGTTGGGCCCCGTGAAATATAATGTGTGGCAGTCCTTATGGTACAACTTGGAACATGGCCAATGAGTTCTAGTTTGGCCTTCTCTATTCCAGATACAGCTCCCTGCATATGATGAAACTCTTTTCCTCTTCTCTTTCTGCAGTGATGGGAAGAACTTGGTGGATTTCACCTTTGTGGAAAACGTGGTCCATGGGCACATCTTGGCGGCAGAGCAGCTCCAGACAAATTCTCCCTTATGTGGGAAGGTGAGTTGATCTCCTCCTGTCATACACAGGTTAAGGCAGTTCCAGAAGAGAGATTCCCCTCTCATCTTGTATGCCATGTCTTTCTCACTTGCTAACAAGTTGGGAACATTACTTTTTGGGTATTCAGCTCCCAGGATCCCCCATGTTGGCTGAAGAGTTCTGTAAGGCAGGGCTTCTTAAACTTTTTCCACTCGTGATACCTTTCTACCTGAGAAATTTTGACGTGACTCCAAGCATATAGGTACATTATATAGGTATAAAAACCAAACATCTACTGAAACATAAAATGGCAGCATTTTGCAAGGCTTGCCAAACAGACCGATGTAACGATTCGCGAAGATGCCACTAATTTGTGATGAGGTCACCAATTTGTAAACGTTTGTAAAGGAGCCACCACTCTGTAAGGGTTTATTAAATTGACAGCGTAGCTTATAGCTAATAATATTGATTTGGTCTTTCTTTTGTGTAGTGTGACTTAACTTGGAAAGGAATTGTATCAGAGACAAGGCTTCAGGAAAAACAGTAACAAGTTTATTGAAATGTAAAAGGAGCATGATGGTTTCAATGTAACTTAACTCTTAGAGGCACAAATCTTCAAAGATTACATTTATAACATTCCTTAAACAACTCTGGGAAGGACACTTCCTTCCACTAAACAGGTTTCAAACTTATTTTTTTAAAAACTTAATAGTTTCTTTCCTTAATAGGTTACTTCAGCTACAAGCTTATGCTTTCTTTGTGATGTTTCTGTTGCAATAGAGATCCTCACTGGGTTTCTCTCACCCTTTCTCTCATTAACTAACTATTAATATAATTAAGTCAACTCGACTTACTTAAACTACTCAGGCTAAAAGCCAAAACCTTCCTGATTCTCTCTACTATAGAATCAGCCTTTACCTGTAGTTTTTAAACTACAGATTACCTTCCTGGTTCTCACTACTCAACAGAACCAGCCACTCCTACAGTTCACAGACTGTAGACTAACTGTTTTTAAAATGGTTGCCCTGCCAAGTGGCAGTTGGCTCCGCCCCTGTTTCCATGGTAACCAGCTCAACATGAGCTGAGCTGGCTACCATCCCCCTTAGTTATGCAACATTAAATACTTACCCTTTAAAACATCTATCTATAATTATACATAACTGCAAGTTAAAAATTTACACTTCACCACAGCCGATTTTCCTTTTTGTGGAATACAGCTGAAGCATTTTCTGCAGAGTCCACTGTAAGCACAGCACACTGTTGCCAACAGATTTGTGACAGTCATTCATTGTCACCAAATTTTTGTGACTCCAGTGTTGAGCCAAGGGGACTCCATTTGGAGGTTTAAGAAGCAGTGCTGCAAGATATTATAAAAAAGTAACTTTTCCACATTTTTGAGTTTTTCAATTACTATGGAACACATGCATTGCTGGATTGCAATAGCTATTTTAGTCACTAAGGCTATAAGAATACTAGTCTGACAATATCTTTATGATTTATTTCCTTCCCATCCCTCACGCTTTTTTAATCTTCTGGTTGTGTTTCTTTGTTGCCTCCCTTTGCAGGCGTTTCACATTACAAACGACGAGCCCGTCCCCTTCTGGGAATTCTTGTCTCGCGTTCTGACCGGCCTGGGCTACGAGGCCCCCAAATACCACATTCCCTATTGGCTGGCCTATTACCTGGCCTTGCTCCTGTCCCTGGTTGTGTGGCTGCTGAGTCCCTTCGTCGCAATCCGTCCCACCTTCAGCCCCATGCGAGTGGCCCTTGCGGGGACCTACCACTACTACAGCTGTGGGCAAGCCAAAAAGCACATGGGCTACAAACCACTGGTCAGTCTGCACGAAGCTGTGGCCAAGACAGTGAAGAGTTACCCACACCTTCAACGCTCAGCATAGCTATCGAAGACCCAGGAAAGCATCTAGAGCAACGTTTCTCAACCTGGGGGTCGGGACCCTTGGGGGGGGAGTCACAAGGGGGTGTCGGAGGGGTCGCCAAAGGCCATCAGAAAAGACAATATTTTCTGTTGTTCATGGGAGTTCTGTGTGGGAAGTTTGGCCCAATTCTATCGTTGGAGGGGTTCAGGATTTTCTTTGATTGTAGGTGAACTATAAATCGCAGCAGCTACAATTCCCAAATGTCAAGGTCTATTTTCCCCAAACTCCACCAGTGTTCACATTTGGACATATTGAGGATTCATGCCAAGTTTGGTCAAGATCCATCTTTTTTTTTTAATTTACAGTGCTCTCTGGATGTAGGTGAACTACAACTCCAAAACTCAAGGTCAATACCCAGCAAATCCTTCCAGCATTTTCTGTTGGTCATCAGAGTTCCCTGTGCCAAGATTGGTTCAATTTTGTTGTTGGTAAAGTTCAGAATGCTCTTTGATTGTATGTGAACTATAAATCCCAGCAACTACAACTCCCAAGTGACACATTCACACACACACACACCCAACCCCACAAGTTTTGGGGTGGATATTTGTGCAAATTTGGCCCACTGAATGGAAATACAGCCTATGTGTCAGATATTTACATTATGATTCATAACAGTAGCAAAATGACAGTTATGAAGTATGGTAGCAACAAAAATATTTTTATGGATGGTGGTCATCACAATATGAGGAGCTGTATTAAGTGGTCGCAGCAATAGGAAGGTTGAGAACCACTGATGAAGATCATGGGCAAACTTTGGCCATCCAGGTGTTTCGGACTTCAATTCCCACAGGAATTGCTGTCTGGCCCTTCAGTCTAACCATCGAGGTCATAGTCTGGAACAACTGTAACATGACAACCGCTGCAGGTTGATGTATGAAATCCTGGATGAACCAAGTTTTAACATTGTTCCTTTAAATTCTAAGTTGAAGAGCCGGCGCTGTCCATAGACACCTCCAAGGTCATGTGGCTGGCATGACTGCATGGAGGGCCGTTTCCATTCCATTCCAGTCTTCATTTACCAGTCTTATGTCATGGACTTGATTTGTGTTTGTTTCTATGGCTGTTTCTTACAGGCCTCAAGTCTAAAGTCAGATGGGAGTAGCATTGTATTTGCCCCCACAAGGATAATAATGACCTCTCGGGCGGGACCAGGGAAAGCCATTCTGAACTGATGTGCTGTGACTATTACCAATAATGTCTTAACTGTATCCCCACTGCCTTTCTAATGAAATCCACAGGGCATTGTTTACCAAGGTGGGGAGAGACTTCTTCAGCTGTACCATAACAACAACTTGGAATCTTTTTGGTTGTTGTAAGTTTTTTCGAGCTATATGGCCATGTTCTAGAGGCATTTTCTCCTGACATTTCACCTGCATTTATGGCAAGCATTCTCAGAGGTAGTGAGGTCTGTTGGAACTAGGAAAAAGGGTTTATATATCTGTGGAATGACCAGGGTGGGACAAAGGACGCTTGCCTGTTGGAGCTAGGTGTGAATGTTTCAACTGACTACCTTGATTAGCATTTGATTGCCTGGCAGTGCCTGGAGCAATCTTTTGTTGAAAGGTGATTAGATGTCCTTGTTTGTTTCCTCTCTGTTGTTGTGCTGTTCTAATTTTAGAGGTTTTTTTTCAGAAGTCAGCCATAGCAGAGCACCTGATGAACCAACATATTATTTGGACACAACATATTATTTGAGAACACAGAAATGCTGGACCACTCTCACAACCACCATGTCAGACTACACAGAGAAGCCATTGAAATCCACAAGCATGTGGAAAATTTCAACAGAAAGGTGGAAACTATGAAAATGAACAAAATCCGGCTACCAGTATTAAAAAACTCTAAAATTAAAACAACAGTGGGGAAACAATCAAGGACATCTTGGTCATTCCACAGATATATAAACCCCTTTTCCTAGTTCCAACAGACCTCACTACCTCTGAGGATGCTTGCCATAGATGCAGGCGAAAAGTAAGGAGGAAATGCCTCTAGAACATGGCCATATAGCCCGAAAAAATCTACAACAACCCAGTGATTCCGGCCATGAAAGCCTTCGACAATACTTTGAATCTTTTCCTGCCAATGTCCCAGTGTAAAGTATCACCTCCTTTCATGAAACCCACAAAAACACTATAGATCTGCTTAGGCTTTTTGCAGCCAATGCAGTTGAAATCTGTAGTCTTATTTTCTCAGTAATCTCCTGCCGTGTGATTCCAGGGGGTTTATCTGAACTTTAGTCTTAATCTGTGAGTGTGGCCTTTTGCCAAAGTTTGCAACAGGAGCATTGGATAATTTGGATCATTCATTTTTAGTGACAAACCTAGCAGTTCGAAAACATGCAAGTGTGAGTAGATCAATAGGTACCGCTCCAGCAGAAAGGTAATGGTGCTCTGTGCAGTCATGCCTGGCTCTGACCTTGGAGGTGTCTACGAACAACACCGGCTCTTTGGCTTAGAAATGAAGATGAGCACCACCTCCCAGAGTTGGACACGACTGGACTTAATGTCAAGAGGAAACCTTCACCTATTTAAGCAACATTGATAACAGAAGCATCTGTTGTCTTGTCATGAACAACTACATCATCGAATCCTGTCATTGTGGACATTCTTTTATAGCTGCTGGAAACCAAGTGTTTGTTCGTTTATAAAAAGAATGAAGAGTTATTCTCGTTTGGTAATCTGATTTGCTGCTTTTCCAGAACATTTTTTAAAGCACATAATTGTTTTATGGCTCTTCATAAAGCATACATTGTTCATCAGAAAGTGTAAATGGTTCTCCCTCTGTTTCTTCTATTTCCAAAGCTCTGTTCTCTTTTGAAAAGAATACTCACCAGCTGATAATTTCCAGTTAGACATTTGTAAACATGATCTAACAACCTGATCCGTAAGTGTTTATGATATATATTTTGAGTTATTGTAGAGTTGGAACATTTGTTTAATGGGTTGCTGTGAGTTTTCTGGGCTGTCTGGCCATGTTCCGGAAGCATTCTCTCCTGACGTTTCACCCACATCTATGGCAGGTATCCTCAGAGACCTCACAACCTCTGAGGATGCCTGCCATAGATGTGGGTGAAACGTCAGGAGAGAATGCTTCTGGAACATGCCCAGACAGCCCAGAAAACTCATAGCAACCCAGTGAGTCTGACCATGAAAGCTTTTGATAACACATTTCTGTAATGCACACAAATTTAGTTCCATGCACAAAATTATTTAAAGGATTTAATACAGAATTACCTTCTGGCTATGTGTATATAAGATAGATAGATAGATAGATAGATAGATAGATAGATAGATAGATAGATAGATAGATACACACACACACATACATATATGGAGTCCCCGGTGGTGCAGTGGGTTAAAGCGCAGAGCTGCTGACCTTGTTGACCGAAAGGTCGCAGGTTCGAATCCGGAGAGCGGTGCGAACTTCTGCTGTCAGCCCCAGCTTCTGCCAACCTAGCAATTCGAAAACATGTAAATATGAGTAGATCAATAGGTACCGCTCTGGTGGAAGGTAATGGCACTCCCTGCAGTCACGCCGGCCACATGACCTTGGAGGTGTCTACGGACAACGCCAGCTCTTCGGCTTGGAAGTGGAGATGAGCACTACACTCCAGAGTTGGACACGACTGGACTTAACGTCAGGGGAAAATCTTTACCTTTACTACACACACACACATATACATAAATTTATTTCATGTTTGCATTTGAGTCATTGTGTGTGTATGCAAATACTGTATTCCAAAATCCCCCCCCCCCAAAAAAATCCCAAATCTAAAATATCTCTTCTTCCAAGTATAGTATTCCTGTCTTCTCATTATGTGGCCAAAGTACTTCATCTTTGACACTAATATCCCTCAAACTCACAGCTGCCCAATTACATTTTAGCCAAGTTTCTTTTTCCTTAGGCGACAGTGCCCTCTTGTGTCTCTCAATGCCTCCTGCAATTTGCTAATTATGACAAGACATTGAAAAACCCCACATTTTCTTCCCTTTTGCATTTTAAATTTTTTTTTAGATCTCAGATTCCTTCCATGAAATAAACCTGCAAATGTTGGTAAATTCTTATTGAAATGAAATTCTTAGCCACTTGTTGTATCCAATTTCATTAGTTATATCTATTCCTAGCGTGGTGAGGTCCTTGGATCTGTGTACCATAAAGAAAACTGGAACCTCTCAGAAAACCATTTTACTGTGGGGAATCAATATTTCTTCTTCCTATTGAATTTGACAAGAGTCTGGATGGAAATTCGTCTTGCTGGATTGTAATGAATACTGTATTCTTTCGCCCGACTTATTCAACTTGTATGCAGAACTAGGCCTGGGTAACAACGGAAAAATTTGTTTCTAAAATCGATTTGTATTTGGGTTTTTTTTGTTTCGATATTTAAAATAATTACAAAATTTTCCTTTTAAAAAGTTCAATATTTACGAAATTTCGTAAATGGTAAAAAATTAACGAATCGATTTCCGAAACAATAACGAATCGATTCGTTAATGGCGGACGCGACCGCGAAATACGCTAAAAAACCTCCAAAACCTTCTGAAGCTTCCCTCTCCCTCTGTTGTTGACTGTTGGTGTGATATTATAATTTTTTTTCACTAATTAAACCATAAAACTGGCCCAGACATGCGGAAATAATAACGAAACGACCTCAAAACAATAACGAAACGAATACAATATCGAAATACGAAGCATTTACAAAACGTTTTTGAAAATTCTTTTTTTAATAATTACTCCAGAATGGTTCGTTATCGTTTTGTAATTGAAAAAATTAACGAATTATTAACGAATTACGAATTAACGAAACGAAACCGCCCAGCCCTATAGAACAGTATATTTAAGGAGTCTCAAGTCTGGAGTTAAAATTGCTGGAAGAAGCATTAATAACCTTGGATATGCAGATGATACCACTTTGATGGCCAAAAGCGAGGAGGAGCTGAGGAGTCTTCTAACCAAGGTGAAAGAAGAAAGTGTAAAAGCTGGGTTACAGTTAAACATCATAAAAACCCAAAATTATGACCACCAGACTGATTGATAACTGGCAAACAGAGGGCGAAAACATGGAGGCAGTGACAGACTTTGTATTTCTAGGTGCGAAGATGACTGCAAACGCAGACTGTCAGCAGGAAATCAGAAGAAGTTTACTTCTTGGGAGGAGATCTATGACAAATCTCAATAAAATAATGAAGAGTAGAGACATCACACTGGCAACGAAGATCTGCGTAGTTAAAGCAATTGTATTCTTCGTAGTAACCTGGATGCGAGAGCTGCACCATAAGAAAGGCTGAGTGAAGGAAGATAGCTGCTTTTGAACTGGGGTGCTGGAGGAAAATTCTGAGAGTGCCTTGGACCACGAGAAGATCCAGCCAGTCCATACTCCAGGAAAGACAACCAAATGCTCACTGGAGGGAAGGATATGAGAGGCAAAGATGAAGTACTTTGGCCACATCATGAGAAGACAGGAAAGCTTGGAGAAGACAATGACGCTGGGGAAAAAGGAAGGAAAAAGGAAGAGGGGCCGACCAAGAGCAAGATGGATGGATGGACGGTATCCTTGAAGTGACTGGTTTGAACTTGAAGGAGCTGGAGGTGGTGACGGTCGACGGAGCTCTGGCGTGGGCTG